CTGGAGTTTTAGCGGGAGGTATAGGAAGTGTTCCAAAGCCGTAAACAATGTTATCTCCTGCAACACCTGCGGCCAGTGGTTTCATCGTGATTGCAGTAAGCCTACCCCCTATGCTTAAAGACTGTACCTAGATGACGCGGAGCTTAACTGAGTTTGTTGTGACTGTTCGCAACTAATTACACATGGCCACACCTCAGCGCAATAGCAAATCGATGACGACAATTTAGCGGATAAGGAGACAGTCATAGAGCTGAGGAAATGCAAACCGACAAAAGTCCTCGAATTGGAGGCAGTTAGGGCAAGTCTGGAAGCGCTTGAGGCACACACGCTGTCAGAACTCCGGCGACTTCAATCAGACAATAATGCTAGAACAGCTAGCTTGTCCGAGGTCAGGAAGGAGGTGACATGGCTTCCTAGATTAAAATTCTGGGCCACGGAAAGGGCTTCGCAATAGACAGGCAGCGAAATGTTGTCATCAAAGGAATGGAAGAGCCACTCTGCAGCAGTGTCAGACTGAGAGAAAGGGATCTGAGATACCTATCTCCTCCCTACTTAGGCAGGTGGGAATCCCGGCCCACGCACTGATCAAAAGGATTTTCAGGCTTGGGAAATGGTCTAAGGCACAGGTAAGCATAACGTGTTTCCCAAGACCAGTTCTCGTAGAATTTTTCAACCGGAGAATCGGGGATGCATTCCTGGCGGCGGCGGGTAGATTAAAGAGTTTGACGAATCGGAAGATAGGCGTCGAACCGGATAACGCATCTATGTATGCAGGCTTTCGCCGACAGGTATCACCAACTAACACGACATACGACGATTCTCGGGGTAACTCACCGAGGATAGAACTCAGTAGATTTCAGTATCAGGTAACAGCAAGCGCTGCTCATGTAATGGAACTGGAAGTGCATTGGACGATATGCATTCCCTAAAACCGAGTTCCCTATCTCCCTCCCTTTCAGGCTTCGCCCGGTGCCCCAGCAACCCAGGAACGTTCCGTAAACGACGACTGACATTCGCCCTTTGTTTAAGTTAATCGTTTGATGTTATTGATTTTGTATCGATTTTATCAGTCTGTTACAAGTCTCTCGATCAATACAGATTTTCGTTCGCTCCCAGGCGTTGCGCGTTCTGTTTTCGCATCGTTGGTGATAGCCGCGTATTGCTCAGGGTCCGTGCTGTGACTAATCGACTTTGCCCGTTGCATTACATTGGGCGTCGCGAGAAGGATGGCGTATAGTCCCTTGTTGTTGACATCTGAACGCGCATCGGACATTTACAGTATCCTGCGCCGACTCTTTGCGCATTCAGGGCCCCCTACCGTCTAGAGGGAACGGTTGTTACGACGAAAACAACACGAGGGCGAGGCTGTAGATGAGTTCTACTGGACCTTACCCGAACTTACGGCCACAGCTTACCCGAATTACACGATCTCCGAAAGAGAAGCTGTTTGTTGTGAGCGACTTTGTATGGGGCTTTCGGACGACCAGCTGCGGATTAAATTGATGTACAAACCCGCCGTCAATCTACGTGAAGCCCTGGAGAAGGTTCGCAGAAGAGAGCGAATGTCGCAAACAAAGCAACAAGAGGAGTCGGCGACTTACGCGGCGGTACAAAGAAACCCGTGGAACCCAACACGTCTCATCCAATCGAGAGTACTAGTTCCCGGTCGTGGTGTCCCTATTGTGCACGGCTCAGTCGACGGGCTCAACACTACGGACACAACCCTCCAATGTACCCGCGTGATCAGAAAGGTAGGCCCCTAGCCATTGATTACAAAATTGTTTCTCTTGTCACTGAGTCAGAATCGAATTCAACCCAATTTTTTCTAACAGGCCGGTTGTAAGGCACCCCAGTGTCCTTCTGGATTGATACTGGAGCTTCATGCTCCTTGGTCAGCGAATACTTAGTCGAGCCCACCCGTACTGCCGATGCGAGACAATCGAACGTCACTGCTGTCAACGGTTCCAAAGTGTTCATCAAGAGTAGAGCACAGCTGAAGATGAGCCTATCAAGGTTGGAAGTCATCCACCCCTTCTTGGTGTGTCATGGTCTCCGATGGGAAGCCATCCTGGGGATGGACCTTTTGCGGAAATATTTTGACACGATTACAATCTCGAATACCTCCCTGAAGTTCCGGATACTAGATGGAGTCCCAGAACAGAAACGGTACAGCACAACATATCCTGAGTGCTCGGGGGTCCAGGTGGAAAACAGTACAAAACAAGTTGGCCTAGTCCATAAGTGTAGAAGAGCTTCAGAAAATGTATGCGGACATTTTTGATACATCAACAAGCGTTCCCGGCCGTACCCAAGTTATTCAGCACGAAACTGATACCGGAACCAGTAAACTCATTCGTCAGCGTGCACGGCGCTTATCAGTTTACTATATGTCACAGCTGGACCAAATGATTCAGGATATGTTACGCAGGAAAGTCATCCACCCATCAACCTCACCATGATCGTCCTCTATCTTGTTGGTAAAGAAGACTGATGGTAGCTTAAGGTTGTGTATCGACTAACGGAAGATAAATGAAGTGACCCGGAAAGATTCGTTCCATCTCCGGCGCATCGACGCCACGTCTGAAGCTTTGTTTGGTGCCAAGTGGTTCTCAACGCTGCACTTAGCAAGCGGCTACTGGCAGGTGGAGATTAAACCGTCCGATTGCGAGAAAACCGCATTTATTATACCATCCGGTTTGTACGAGTTCGAGACTATGCCTTTTGGTCTGTTCAATGCACCGGCAACTTTCCAACGGTTGATAAACACGGTTTTGAAGGTCTTATTATCCGAAAAGTGCCTCGTCTATTTGGATGATATCATAGTTCATGGCAGGTCCATAGAGGAGCACAACAAAAGACTGGAAGAAGTGTTCCAGAGGTTGAGAAGAGCAGGACTTCGGCTGAAGTCCTCAAAATGCCACTTCTTTGTCGTGAGATCAAATTCTTGGGTCACATAATCACTCCGGATGGAATCAAAACGGACCCCACTAAATGTGACCGTATCAAAGCTTGGCCTCGTCCTACCTCGGTAGAACAGTTGACAGCCTCCTTGGGGCTAGCTTCCTACTACCGGGGATTCATTGAAGATTTCCCCTCACTTGCAGCCCCTTTGCATCGACTCACCACCAACGGTCGTACTTTTGTTTGGTCAGCAGAGTGTGATCGTGCTTTTTCACAATTAAAGCTCAGGTTGACCTCCCCTCCCATACTAGCACTTCCTGATGTCTCCCACAATGGGCGCACTTTTGTACTGGGCACTGATGCTAGCGAGAATGCCACTGGAGCAGTTTTATCCCAAGAGTCCCCAGGGGGTGAAGTTGTCATCGCCTACGCAAGTCGCGCGCTGGATCCTTCAGAGCGCAAGTTTAGCACCACCAGGGAAGAACTGCTATCCCTAGTATATTTTATCAACTACTTTCGAGCATATCTTCTGGGCAAACCATTTAAAGTAAAGACGGATCACCATTCACTACAATGGCTGAAGAACTTCAAAAACCTCGCGGGGCAGGTTGCGAAGTGGCAGCAAAAGCTGCAGGAATATGAATTCATCTGTGAGCACCGACCTGGATTGTGCTACTCCAACGCCGACGCTTTATCTTGGATTCCTTACGGGTTAACGTAGCCCTATTGACAACCGAGGAGGCGGGATAGGCTGATGATCAAGCCAATAACCCGTATATCGTCCGCATCTACAGTTCACAAAAAGGAGAGAGGCGAAAGCCGACTGGTCTCGAAATGAAAGAAGCTTCCGAAGCAGAAAAGACACTGTTGGGCCTATGGAACGACTTAAAGTTCGTTAATGGGGTTCTATACATACAGAAAAATGCAGAGTCGAAGATAATCGTATCCAGAACAAGAACATTGGGCTTAGTACAACGTATCCACCACCAAATTGTTCATGGGGGCACCTGAAGACTGAAGCCATTCTTCGTGGCCCGGATTACATACTGATGTTATTAATGTGTGTAATCTATGCAAAACTTGTGCGAGAATAAAAAACCAATTTCCAGCACCCAGGGCACCCCTTGAACCCATGACTGCTATGCATCCGGGTCTGCGGGTCGGGATTGATAGCATGGGCCCTCTACCGATGACCCGTGAGGGGAACCGATATATTCTGGTCACGATCGACTACTCCACGAAATGGGCTGAAGCTGTCGCCATTCGGTTCCAGGACGCGTCAACGGTCGCGAAGGCGTTTGTCCATGAATGTGTGAGTCGATTTGGTGCCCCGCAAATCCTCCAATCCGACCAAGGCGCGGCGTTCGAAAGCCAGCTGCTGCTGGAAGTGTCTCATTTGTTTGGTGTAAAAAGAACCCGAACGACCCCGTATCATCCTCCAGGTAACGGGCCAGCGGAAAGCACCAATCGGACCATAAAAGGCATCCTTCAAGGTTTCTGTGAAACCCTTGATTTAGATCGCTGGGACGAAACACTCCCGCTGTGCATCCTTGCCTATTGTGCTTCATACCATGGCACCACTTGGTAAAGTCCAGCATCTCTGACGCTTGGATGTGAGTTACGTCTACCCGTGGAGATAGCGGTGCCATCGTTGCCAAACCCTGTTGACAACACGCTTGCCTTCCAACACGTTAGGGAACGCGCCGGTCGAAAGCAGGCGCAAAAGAAACGCATTTACGATCGCGATATTCACAGGAATGCATTTAACGTGGGGGACCGTGTATGGTTACATTGACCAAGGCCGCCGCAGGGCACTTCAACCAAGTTCCATCCGCCGTGGCAGGGTCCCTACGAAGTCGTTTTTCAGCATTCACCGACTGCTTACACCATCCGCCAGATCGGCTCTCAAAATAACAAAAAAAAAACAGTACACTACAATCAGTTGAAACCCTTCTCGCTACCGAGAGACGCCCCAGAAGCCGAAATGGAACCCGTGCCCCCGGGGGCGCTTCCAGTGGTGGAACAGACAGTTGAAGTCGGGCCCGACGGTGGTGAGGCAGTTATGACGGGAACTGAGGACAGTGCCGTCCCAGAGGGAGGGCAGTGTAACGGAACCGAAAGTGCATTGGGCGATATGCATTCCCTAAAACCGAGTTCCCTATCTCCCTCCCTTTCAGGCTTCGCCCGGTGCCCCAGCAACCCAGGAACGTTCTGTAAACGACGACTGACATTAGTCCTTTGTTTGAAGTTACTTGTTTGATGTTATTGATTTTGTATCGATTTTATCGGTCTGTTACAAATCTATCGATCAATACAGATTTTCGTTCGCTCCCAGGCGTTGCGCGTTCTGTTTTCGCATCGTTGGTGATAGCCGCGTATTGCTCAGGGTCCGTGCTGTGACTAATCGACTTTGCCCGTTACAATACACTCAACGTACCACTTCCACTCTTAGGACCAGCTAAACTACACCAACACTATCTCCCACAGAATACATACGTAACGATCAAAGCCCTGAGCCCACGCTAGTAGGGCGGACGACAATAGTCACAGCTAATCGTATAAAAAGGCCGGATGATATTGGGCCTACTCAGTTAGAGACTGGTAAGGAATTGTGAGCTACGGTGGTTCGAAGGTCCAGTGTTGAAGTCATTCCCTCTGCGGCGCAGCACGTCAAACTACCCACACGATTCAGAGGTGGCCATCGTCCGTCAACATTAGACT